TACAAGGGGGCGTTATCGCCCACTTTGGGAAACACTGATGTAGAACATAGTCTAGAAGACATAGATTACTTATTAAGATATCGTATTTCCGCGCCAGCAGCTAGAACATTAAAACAAACAAATTAATTCGTTCATATAATCATTTATTTTAAGAATTGAATACAATTTTACCAGAAGGATTAGAGAAAGATTCATCGAAAGTGTTTAAAGTTTTACAATAGTGTGAAAAAGTGGAAAAATATTAGAATTACAAATATTAAGTATTTTTTTTATAAAAAAATATTAGTAGATTTTATTTGTAAATTTACTAATATTTCTTTTACCATTCCACCTAAGCTCTATGCTTGTGCCATGGTTCACGACAATAGTCGAATGTCGGGATTCGAACCCCCGACCTCGTTCGGAAATCCGTATCCTTAACCATTAGGCTATTGACGCTTAAAGTATGATTATTGTCGCCTGTATGGTTTTTAATATAATTCAAACGTTAAATAAACGATATTTTATTAAAAATGTCTTAAATATAAATATATAAAGTTAACGTAGATTAATTAAATATGAAACAAACTTACGAATAACGGTTTCAGATATACTATACCGGGGCGAAGGAAAAAGCAGTTTTTATTGTAAAAATAATTAAAACAAAATTTTATTTTTTAATTTACTCTTTACGTCATCCTTATATTTGCTCTTTATAATACGTGCTAAATGAAATAAAACCTTATTCCAATGACATAACGCTTAATATTATTTGCAACAAAAAAAACCTACTCTCCGCCCCTGTCTGTCTAGTGTAGGGGCTGTAAGTATTAAATAAATTAATGATATCATTACAAGATATTGCCAGTCCCGTATTATATTAGTATAAAGTCATATGATTTTTTTTTTTTACTATAATATTGTACTCGACTTTCGGTCGATGTTTAAATTTCATAGTGAGAATTTAGCGCGAAGATAGTGTCATAAGTGCAACAATTATTTATATAATATAGTATATAGTTATATATCTAAATACAGTATAAATAACTATATACATAGGAGTCTAGGGTCAATTTTCACTAAACAGGTACTATTTCAGGAATAACTAATAGCTGTATTAAAATGTATTGAACATATTCCAAACGCTTATAGTAAACTCAACCTATACTAATATTATATATAGATATATAAACACGGCTAAACACTCACGTATATACGTCCGGTGGCGGCACCGACTAGTTTCATATATCAGTTTAGTATAATGTCTCACGAAAGATTGAATAATTTAATATTATTATATAAAGGGGCAGAGTTTGTTTGTTTAAACGCGCTAATCTCAGGAACTACTGGTCCGATTTTAAAAAATCTTTTTTTGTCGGATAGTCCATTTATAGAGGAAGGCTTTAGGCTATATAACATTACGCTATGACCAATAGTTTTTTTTAATTCCGCGCGGACGGATTCGCGGGCGACAGCTAGTTGGATATAAGATTACTGTTTGTAGAAAATTAAACTGAAAACTAAGAACAACGTCAATACATTTTATTATAGTATAAATTCGAATTATTGTAAATACTATTCTATAATGGTCGAGTCACATTCTTGTGTTATTTAAATTGCAAATTTAGATTTTTTATTTTGCATAATTTTCAAATTGAATCTAGTTAAAGTTGTGCCATTAACCGTTGGTTTCTAAGGCCAAAATCTCTGTATAAAATATATCATCCCTGTCACTATCTTTGACAAAACAGAGAAGAGAAGAGTACACTTTTAACAATGGTAGAGCCCGCTTTAACATCTCACGAATTGTCCCGGGTCTGAGTGTGCGTCTTTCCTTTCTCTTTCCCTTCCCACCCTTTTTCTTATAAGGAAAGGATGAGAAGTGAAAGTGGACTTTCCGGACGAGATGCATGGAAAGGGAAGATGTTTTCTTTCTGTGCATCCTCTCCTCCGTTGATTAAAGGTAGGCAACGCATATCCAATTGCGTATGTCTATGGGCAACGATCACTTCGCTATTTCAGCGATTTCAGGTGAGCGCTTACTCGTTTGCCACATTATTATATAAAAAAGATATAACAATATGTTTTAAACAGAGATTTTGGTCTAAGAAACCCAATGTAAATAAATTAAAGTGTAGCGTTGTTGTTTTTATACTACTGACAATGAAATTCGGTCTAAGCACTTATATTAAAACATATTCTTATATGTATTATATTTAAAGACTATAAGAATATGTTTTTATACAAGTTTGTCGACAGTGAAAACATGAGTACGTTCAATCAGTCAAATACTTTGAGTGTACTTCAGTCGAATACAGTCTTAATTATTTAAGGCTCGTTTGAAATTAAATATCATTTTGTACTTAAGGTGATGTGAGTTTTAAATATCATGGCACATGAATAACAACGCTATATCTATCTCTTTATTTTTAAATAGGATAAATGAGATAGCAACATTGTAATAAGTGCTTCAATACTGGAAATTCGACGTAAAAAAGTGTTTATAAACAAAAAAGGCAAACACTCACTCGACTTTTAACCCCAAACGTCACTGCGTAATACGATAGTAACTTCTTGGTGTGGTGGAAGGGGAATTGATGGAGGAAGGGACGCAAAGGAAGAGGAAATATCTTTCTGAGCGTCTCCTCCTCCGTCGATTACAGGTACAAGTAATTCGGCGAATTCAAGTGGCACGTTACTCGTTTGCCACCTTATAATATAAAATGATGACGTCAATGATCTGAATTGTACATATTGTTGTCTGTTTTTAGTCTAAGCGAATGGAAAGGGATGAGAATATGCATTATTTTTCAGTGCTTTCTAGTATAAACAATTCGTAGAAGCATAATATCTACTTTGGAAAGGTTAAAGCTATTATTTCACAGCCTTTGACTCTAAAGGAGTGCTTTGTTACATAATTTTATCGCTCAAACAACTAGTTTTTTTTCTATTATTACAATACTAAAAATAGTGTTGAAGTGAAATACGTACGTTTGAAATAAAAATGTGCAAGCTCAACGTAACGGCGGTCAGTTAAACATTTTTAATTTAAAATCTGAATCAGTTCAAAAGAACAATATCTGAGCAACTATATTTGAATGTGTTTTTTTCTAATCTTTGACAGATAGAAGTTAATGAGTCGCACATTTTCATTTGAAACCCATAATAAAGTCTACTCGTATATTTTAACAAACAATTACAATATTAATTATATTTTCTATTGCGATTTGCATCTTTTATTATTATATTGTTTATTAAAATATGTATTTTTCAAATGTGAAATATGAATCCAGCATAATGTGTGAAATCTTAGAATACGCGACAGTTATTTTATAAAAGTTTTGAAGATAAAAAGATCTATATTTATGTATATTCAATATTTTAATCAATAATATCCATTAAATGGCATTAATTTTATTACAATTTGATTTTATCAATCAATACTCCCTTTATTGTCGTCGGTTCTGTGTATTTTTAATCTTTGAAAAAAAAAAACCTTCAGTTTTTTAAAACGACTGTCATCTGTCTTATCTGCCAGTTACTCTTAATTCCTAATTAACAACTTATCAGATATCCTTAAAATTATATTAGATAATCCATATTTTTTATATTTTGGATACATTTTTATATGAACACAGTAATCATAGGATTATTTCAATTTCAAAGTATATAAACTTGCCACAGATAAAATAAGCAAATAATGGCAACAGCATCGCAATATTAAGGTAAAGATTTTTAAAAATATGCAAAATGGTTATGAAACAGCAATTTGGACGGTTTGCTCTTTTATTTTCCCGCCATAAATTTATAATTAAAAATGTTTTGCAAAAATGTCTGTAACAATTTCTAACCTAAAAAATATCTATTGGGCTATGTGGCAAATGTATAAAAAAAGGAATTCATTCATAATTAAATGGTATAAAAAAAGGAAAATAAAAAAACCGTAAATAAAAAAAACATTTACTATTAAATAAACAAAGACTAAGTTGCCTTAAAGGAAAACATAATACACACAAAAATAAAATTTGTTCATGATTAAACGAAGTCCATTTACTGATCATTTGAATTAAAGAAAAATAAAGACAAATTTACAACCTCCTTTTTGAACTCGGCAAAAAAAACACTGGCCAGTAACAAAATATCGCTTTAAAATATGAATTAATAAAACTGTCATTGGTGTTGTTTTTATTATTCACTCGAAAGAGCAGGCAAAGGAACTAAGCCATACAGCCTTGTCTTTTTTATTTTGAATATAGAGAATTTTATAATGTACAGGCCGCAGCCTGTCATATTGCATTTTAGAAGTTATTGAACACAATTTTTTTTAATTTTCATAATAAACAAATGACATATTATATTATTATTGCAATATTACATTGTTAGTGTTTCAGTCTGTCAAACAAAATTTGTTAAATATTAACTACATATATATGACGACTCAAATTTTACTTTATTTTATTTTAAAATACTATTAAAATAGGAGTAATTAACAATTTAAGGGACACTTTCATCATTTCAAGTTTTTTTTTTATACTGTAAGTTATGATTAATGACAATCAACAAATTCGTGGACAAAAAAGACGAAGTCTTTACAAAAAATATGACCTGTGGGACTTTAAAGAGATCTTTTAAGTCCTGTATTTATTTCAAAGTTACTTAAACTTGTAGCCTCCGGAGTGCATTTCTTTGGTGTCAGGTTACATATGTTGCTGTCAAATAATTGAATTTCCATCAATTGTCAACAAAAAAAAAATTAATTTCATATCATACAATAGAACTATAGATCTTTTCAACCATTTACCATTTATTTGATGTTTAATTAGATATTTACAATCAATATTTAGAACCAAAAGCAAAAAAAAATGATACTATATACTTATATATATATATATATATATATACGGGGTGTCCCAAAATACAATGATAAAACGGAAATGGTATCTATATCGTTGAACTTTGGGACACCCGTATGTACATAAGTATATAGTATCAATTTTTTTATACTATATATATTTTTTTTTGAATCATTTTCAATCAATTTTAGTTTCGTTTTAAGTAAATGCTAATGAACTATTGAATTATAAAATCTGTTAGTAAAAATTGAATCGTCATTCCAAAATTAAACTAGTCAAAATTAGATGTAAAAAAAAACCTATTTTATCTGTGCGTTCAGCAATCGTATTGCAGTATATTACTTATCTATAACTTTATCAGCACTTTGGATAACTTTTATGAATAAATTTCTTAAACACTAATCATAGTAACATATATTTCCACTGCCAAAACATTTCATATTATATTGCCGTCTCTATTTTTGTCAATACAAATGAGTGAGATGACAAACTATTTTCGTTCACGACTATTGGCAGTGAAAACTTACTATAAGACAATCTTTACCAACAATAACATTCCTTAAACCACCAAATTTAAAAACAAACTCTTCAACATATTTTGTATATAACCCATAGATCTTATCCAGAGTACAAAAGTGAGCCGTAAAAAAGGACTCTGAAAGTTTTTTATTAAGAACCCTCGCACACTAGACTTTTAGTTGCCCGATAGATTGATCTTACACTTAATCAGTATGAACATACATAGAGGTGCGCAAATTACACACTCATACTGATGAAGCACACAATCAAGCTATAGGACGACTAAGTATCTAGTGTGCGGGGGCCTTAAGATAAATTTCCTCAATGATTATCATTTACAATATAAAATGTCATTACCAAAACTCTAGATTGTATGTCAAATTTGTATGGAACCTATCTAGGTTAGATATCTCTATCCATTTGAACAGATAGACAAAACTTATGTTATTTTAAATTATATTAGCTATTATATATAACATACAAACATGAACAATCCATATAACTTTGTGATATATGTAATTTTATCCAATATGTCATATATATTTTAATTTATCATACTAATTACATACAAATCTATTTTATAGTCGCAAAGAAATGTGTTTAGCAGCTGTTATGTACAACTGTATTATAAAATATATAAATAGTAACATGATATTACAGTATCTTTGTGGTAGCTCAGAGCTAGGGTGGTTCGCAATACCCCCGTACATACCTGTTCCTTATTACAACTGTATGTCTGCGCAGACTGTTCAGAGCTACCGACATATTTGAAATAATGTGTACAGTAAAATCACATCAGTATTTTACCTTTTTAAATCCAACGATTAACTCCAATTGTATTATTCACTAAACACAATCTTCACTTCACTTATAAAATACACTTTAATCCACTTTTCACTTCACTAGTCGACTTAGAGTTACATCTCATAATATTTCACATATAACTCTTTTCATTAGATATTAACTACACATCACTGTCCGATACGTCTTGCTAGAAAGTTCCAGAATATTCCAGCACGCGAAAGCGACCGCTAAAGGGACAACCAGGCCTTCAGTGAGACCACATCCCTGAAGGTGCCGGAGAATGTAATGCCAGACACAATGCCGGTTACCAGCATCGCGCCGCCTATCATGCCAGCTGTTGATGCGTGCTCTGGAGCAACCGTACTGGAAAACATATAAATTACATATAAGATTTAGATATAACTAGCTTTCGCCCGTGACTCCGTCTGCGTGGAATTAGAAAAAAAATAGCCTATGTGTTATTCCAGAATATGTTCTTCATCGATTTCAAAGTTAGGCGAGATCTGTTTAGGTGTTTTAGTGATACTTTCTAACAAACATCCATCCATCTAAACATTCGTATTTATAATATTAGTAAGATATAACTTTAGGCTTAGTCTACATTAACCCAGCAACCGATTTCAGCGCTGGATTACAATTGATCCAGTTATAACTAGTGTCGGCATTGGTCCTTGGACTGGAATACTGTAAACCGGGCATTCATTTGTAAAGAACTTCGTTCTACTATGTACTAGGATATCAAAACCGCAAATAGATTTAAACAATGCATCTACAAATGAGAATGTCTAGCCAGCTTTCGCCATTTCGGCGAATTCTTGTAGCTTAAAACTCAATTCTATAATAAGTACTAGGGTATCATAAAATCGCAGTACTCACCCACTGACATACATCATGCCGAGCGAGCTGCCGTGTCCGGAGCTCCAGCCGAGCAGCACCGCGAGGACCCAGTACAACCAATCGGCGCGCACCAACACCGGCAGCGTGCGCTCGTCCGGCAGATAGTTACATACCAGGAACACAGGAATGAAAACTATACGTAGTGTAGTAAATACCCACAACCACTTTGGATTCGGCTGGAAATTAAAAAAGAAAACGTTAAAAAAAAAATCGATATGACACGAGTTCTCAAGTCTTTTTCGGCCAAAAAAAGGTTTGATTTAACGTTAAATACTTTTTTCTGTGTATAATATGAATAAAATTTTAAATATCTAAAGTTAATTCTAGAATATACTTACAAATTGCCAAAAACTAGCAGTCAGATTTCCAATCATTGCCATCAAGTTGAAAGTCAAAAAGCAAGTCAACCTAGTAAAGTTTTCTCCGAGGAAACCAGGCGTGATTGGTTGTACCTCTGAAAATTAAAAAAAAAATCAAACATATTAAAAATAACGAAAATGGGAAATTTATTAAATTCATAACTAACTTCAGAAAGCAAGAATCATGTAATAACAACTAGCAGTACTTTTTTATTTATTTATTAACTATCAGCAGTCCACGACTTCGTCCACGTAAAATTAAGAAATTACCAGTAATAAACATAGCCTACGTCACCTGGGGAAAGTGTAGCTTCCCAACAGTTAAAAAAAATTTCAAATTGGTTCAATAGTTTTTGGAACAAAACAAATCTTTCTCATTGTAATATTAGTATAGATAAATCTGATTTAAAATTACTCACTAGATTGTACTTCAGGGAACACAGAGAGAGTAACGAAGAAAATAATAAATATATTATATAATTGTATCCAAGCTTGTTTGAATATTGTGGCATAAGGCGTGCGCTGCTTTGCCGGGCTCGCGTTCTGATTGGTCGCCGCTAAAGCTGGGTTCACACGCATCGTTCTTTCTTGTAACGTCTCATGGTAACGGTAGAATCTCTGGAACAGCAAAACAGTTTACATATAAAACCTTTTCTGATACAGCGCCATCTATTGATTATTTGTAAAATTAAGGCAGGAAAAAACAAAGTTATCCAATAACGGTTGGCTTCTGAGACCAATGCTTTTGGAATGACTTTGGTAAAAGAGATAATATGTTTCAAACGAGGATTTTGGTATCAGAAACCCACGATAAGTAGATAGTTGTTCCCTAAACATTCAATAATTGTAGATTAATTGAGCTAAATCTGCACTTAGGGTCTCCCTTAAATGTCTCTGAGTATAGCATTAAATTAATAAAGTTAAAAGAAATGTAGCGAAACTTAGGTGCACACAAGTTTATTGAAGAAACCTGCATGTGTTTTAGTGAAGCATTTGTTTTACCCACTGTATAGAAAATGTGACGTCATCGATGTAACGATTGCGTCACTGCGTTGGAAAGTGGGATATAGCAACATAATGACGTCAGCGGCAAATGTACCACGGCGTTACTACGTAACCGGTCGAATTTTATATATACTTGCGACGTTCAAATACTTTGATAGCGCGATTCAGAACTCACTTTTTGTGCATGTTTGATGACTTGATTTTTTTTTATTTCATTTTACGCAAAAATTTCAATATTTCAAATTAATTATTATTAATATTGTTATTACTAAAAAATTAACAATTATTATAAATTTTCACTTTTCTCAAAAAAAAAATTAAAAAAATTTCCCAAGAACTTTGAAGTTCATTTTGTTTTGTATTTGACCTTCTAAATATTATGGAAGGTTTATAAAATTTTAAGCATCACGCTATCTATAGAATACAGACAAATACGATTAAAAATATCTTCCAAAATATGAAAAAAATCAGTTAAAATTAAAAAAAACTTACATTCAACGGCAACGCGAAGTATGTATCAAAGCATATAAGCAGAACAAACATCCCAGCTATAAAATAATATATAGCTGATGTCCGTCTACTGGAGGTGAAGGTGTCTGACAGCCACTTGAGCAATGTGACCAGCGTGCCACAGATGTTGGAGCCGAGGACCACCGCACCTGTGTACTGCGGGGGAAGACGCGCTGCGACACCGTATACTGAGTTTTGGAAAACCGCGTTGAATGCTGCAAAGTTTTAATTATATGTTAATAGATGGCGTTAGTTGTCCATTAAAATGTGTAATTTAGTAAAAAATAATTGCAAAATTTTTGTAGTTATCTATACTACTATTATAAAGAGGAAAGATTTGTTTCCATTGTAAAGACTACGAAAAATTATTTTACTGTTTGGAAGTTACACTATGCCCGGACGTAGGCTATATTTACATTTTTTTTTAATTTCGCGCTAAGTAATTCGCGAGGACCTACTAGTTTTAATAATTAGTCAATATGATAATGAAATAATAGATTTGTTAATAGCAAAAAATCCTAAAACTCTGATAGAAATTTTATGACGGATTTTTACTCTTTTTACTAATCTTGCCAATAGATGGCGCTATAACCAATTAATTCTGTCTTGACTAATTTCACTGGTTCTAGTAACTTCACTTACCGTTAAGTACAAAAACTGTACAAATAGTGACCCAGAAGAATATAACTGTCCATTCACTACTATCCACCATTGCCAACATGACGGTCACCACAAAAACCATCACTTCCATTATCAAAGACCATACGATACGTGTGGTCAAGTTGCCACTGGAAATAAAAAAAAATTGAGACTATTATATTGGAGAAGATGTAAAATGTTGTTGCTTGCTTTTAAACTTAAAACGAGCCTATATTGTGCCTAATATTACTAGTTTAATAAATTCAATGCCGTCGACATGTAGTCTTCAACATCATCATCAGCTTACTATACGTTCCCACCGAGGTGCTCGGAGCCTACTTTAAGTTAAGGGTGATTAGGCCATAGTCAACCACGCTGGAAAAATGCGGGTTGGTTGACTTCACTTTGAATTTCTTCTCAGATATGTGCAACATCACGATGTTTTCCTTCACCGTAAGAACATCCGATAAATGTACATATGTAAATCGGAAATCGAAAAACACATTGGTACATGGCGGGATTCGAACCCAGGACCTGCAGATTGCAAGTCAAGTGCTTGACTCCTGAGCCACCGACACTCTGTTCACTATTGTTAATCATGGTCTTATTCAAAGTAATTTTATATTTATTTTACATTTTTTAATTCTTTAGGGAGAAATTGCTTCCTCCTTCCTCCGGCGACGCTCATGATCCTGATTGATATATAACAGTGGAAGATATCCCATGCACTGAAAATGGTTTCATCTCGTTAAAGAGATGTAACTATTTTCAATTGCTATATTAAAATGACTTACCCAATTTTAACGAAGACATTAAACCAACTGAACAGCAAGTTAGGCGTTTGTGAAGCCCATCCTACATACGTCAAATATCTTTGTGAAAGATTAGGTGCATTCGCCAGTTTGTATTTATCAAAATAATCAGTAGCGGTGATGAACATGTTCCAAGCTGTTAATGTTCCAAGTCCGTGTAACACAAGGGTCAAATATATTAAATACCATCTGTCCTTCGGAGGAGCCAAGTCCATAGCAATGCCTGAAAAATAAATATAATTATATTAATACGCGAAATAAAAACTTTTTGAAACTTTTAATTGCACGAAAAGATGAAGTTAGAACATGACATCTTATTTATATTACTATTTTTTTTTATAAGAGAAAGGGGCAAACGGGTGTCGGGAACACCAAGGTGATCAGCGACACCCATGGACATCTGCAACACCAGAGGAACTGCAGATGTTTTGCCGGCCATATATAAATGCTGTTTAGATGGATGGTTATTTGTTTGAAGGTACCCCCAGAATCACTGATAACTCGATGAAATTTGGCATAGATGTAGAACACAATCTAAAGGATATATAGGCTACTTATTAATCTTTTTCAATTTCGCGCGGACGGACTCGCGGATGACCTAGTAGGTTAATATGGAAAAATGCATAAAACTATTTTCAATAAAAATTTCTTTGATTATGAATTATTGTTCAATTTCAGCAAATGGGCATTTTTTCTCATATCCATAGATACGAGAAAAAACTTTTACAGGGATTTTTTTCTAAGAAATAGAAGACAAAACAATGATGGGTATTTTGTTCGTTTCAGGATTTTCGAGTTTGCTTGCGTAGAAATAATTACTTAATTTTCCAAGAATCATCAGCTATACGTCCCCACTGAGGGGCTCGCTACGCTAAGTTAGGAATGACTAGGCCATAGTCGACGCTCGCCAAGTGCGGGATAACTTCACACATATCTTTGAATTTCTTCACAGATATGTGCAGGTTGCATCACGTTTTTCTGTACCGTAGGAACATCGGATAACCCAGAATATAGGACAAAAATTACAAATTTCGTTATAACAGGGTTGTAGCACACTTTTCACGCCTCATCTATATCCCTTTTACGTATTTTATACACATAAAACAATATTTTTAAAACATAAATATCTTTTAAAGACTAACTAAAAGTAAAAACATAAATTAACCTTTTTTAACCGTCATTTTGCACGAGATTTTTGTTAACACACACAATTTTCATATACAAAGTAACTAATAAGTAACTGCAACCTATTGTTATATAGTTAAATCCAAAATTAATTAAATCCCGTGACGATGTAACAATAACTACGTATTGTTAAAATAAACTGTTAAATTATAATACGAGAATCGATAAACCATTGTTGTGTTAATTAACAAAAGATTATAAAGATTTTATAATCGTTCTACGTCTATATCGAAATTATTTAAGTGCATAAAAAAAACTATATCTTACTAATATTATAAATGCGAATGTTTAGATGGATGGATTGATGGATGTTTGTTTGAAGGTATCTCCGAAACGACTCAACGGATTTTGATGAAATTTGGCATAGAATAGCCTAGTAGAACACATAACTACATGTAAAGTTTTTTTAAACACCGTAGGGACGGAGTTGTAGGCGACAGCTAGTACTTAATAAATCCTAACAAGACTGACACTTTTTTGTTTTAGTCGTAATTTCAAATTAATTCTAGATATATTATACAATAAATATACTTAAGTAAAGTTGTTAAATACGATTTAAATTTTAACATTCAGTTTCCACTAAAATATCGTTACAAATATCTGCTACCAAATCAAATTGGCACAAAATATCACAGCCTATAGCCAGTCTAATATATACTGGTTACTAATCATAGTCAACTTTAGTAAAATTAAATCTCTCTTCTCAATTTGTGTCAATGTTGGTAGAATTTGTGGCATAGAATTACCTTTTAAGTTGAGTGTGTCATTGGGGAGGTTGGATCCCTCCCACGCGGGTGTCAATCTCACCGGCTCGTTACGTAGGAACGGGAGCTTTTCACTCTCTCCCGACTCCCAGCCTGGAACAAAGCCAAACACTTTTATTAAAATCTTCCAAAAACAAGTTTTTAAGTTCTCAGACTCTTAAATAATTTAAAACGTTGTGTAAAAGATGCTTTAAACAACTAATAAGGTTTTATTGAACGACTGATTGACCTTGAAAACTTCAAAACGAAAATCCTTTGACCTAAACGATCTGCTATGGTCAGTCTTTTCGGATTAGTATATCTATACAATTGAAATGACTGTCTGTATGCAATATCAAAAAATATTTGGGGAACACGATGTATTTGCGTGGTTGACAACGAAAAACATTTTTTTAAATTTTGGTTTGTCTGTCCAGGTTTCTTCCGGGTAATCTCCGGTTGGACCGTTTTTGACGGGACTGTGGCGGGAAGGTAATGCTGCACGCGGGAATATCATTGGCCATTTTTATTTTTTGCTTTTTTTATTTTAATACATACTTACGTTCATAATCTATTTCGATTAAACGAAATAATGTTTATTTTTTAATTCTGTATTTTTAAATTATACTTCAAACTATTTGATTTGACATAATCATGTGATTTTTTTTAATTTTGACGTTTTGAATACAAGGCGTTAACCTCTTTGGAGTAAAAATAATAACTGTGGAACAATCGGTTTGTTATCGATAGCTTTGCAAGTTTAATTAAAAGATTTCAATTGGTACAATCGCCAACAACAGTCTTTGCTTTGTCAATTTATAAGGCTTCCTTCGAGAAATTGAACCACCATAGTGCAGATTGATAAAACAAATTACAAGATAATGAATGAAGCCAAGGGAATACACTACGTAAAAAATTGCTTCACACGATCTTAAAAGCCCTATATTATAAGAGTTATTTTGTAGGAGATAGCAATAGCCTTATGATCTAAGAACATCAGAACAAAGCAGCTGTTTTGTCAATCTTAAAGGTAAACAACACGTTCTTAAATGATTGAAAGGATAGAAGTTGATCGCTACTTTGTCCACTCAGAATTAAGTGGTAGAGCCTGTATTAACATCTTTGCACAAATTGTCCCGGCTCGCCCGGTGAAATACCACGACCACACAGAAGACAGACGTGAAGTGGAAACAATTCCGCGTTTCGTCTGATGAGTGTGCGTCCCGGAGGCCTAATTTAGTCCTCTTTCGCTTCCCACCCTTTTTGTTATGGAAAGGATGGGAAGTGGAAGTGGACTTTCCAGATAAGAGGATGCAGGGGAAGGGAAAATATTTTCTTTCTGTGCATCCTCTCCTCCGTCGATTAAAGGTAGGCAACGCATATGCAATTGCGTATGTCTATGGGCAACGGTCACTTCGCTATTTCAGCGATTTCAGGTGGCCGCTCGCTCGTTTGCCATCTTATGATATGAAAAAAAAATACAAAAATAAGCCTATGTATTCTTCCAGATTATGTTGTACAGTTACGCCATTCAGCGTGATCCATACAGCTGTTCTGGAGATACCTTTTAACAAACATCCATCCATCCAAACACTGTAATAAATGTAATTTGATCAGAACATTAACAAGACAATAGTTCATTGAAGTTATATTGACACCTGACTTCAGTGAGGGTTCATTGTAAATTGTAACATGAGTGTCACAAGTTTGTAGTTATGTTACAACTTATTACACATATATTTAACACTAGCTGTAGCCCCCGACTACGTCCGCGCGAATTAAAAAAAGTTATTAGCCTACGTGTTCTTCTAGGCTATGTTCTACATCTATGTGAAATTTTAAATTAAGATTATTTAAATCCATGAGAGCGTCGGTGGCTCAGGGGTCAATTTTGCAATCTGCAAGTCCTGGGTTCGAATCTCGCCATGTACCAATATGTTTTTCGATTTTTGATTTACATATGTACATTAGGCCGACGTTCTTACGATGAAGGAAAACATCGTGATGCTGCACATATCTGAGAAGATATTCAAAGATATGTGTGAAGTCAACCAACCCGCACTTGGCCAGTGTGGTTGACTATGGCCTAATCACCTTTAACTTAGGGTAGGCTCCGAGCCCCTCGGTGGGGACTTATAGTGAGCTGATGATGAAATCCATGAATCAGTTTAGTATCTACAATGTTGATGACAATATAAAAATGAATCGCAAAATGTGTTGGTAAACGCACAACTCAACAACACCTGGACCAATTTGGCCAATTCTTTTCTTTAAATGTTCCTAGAAGTTCAAAGATTTTACGGCGAGAATAATTCGAATAATTGCCGGGAAACCCTCTAGGAACCTTTCTTTATCCCCACGCGGATGTAGTCACGGGCGACAGCTAGTTTTATATAAATATTTCGGCACGTGTAAACCCACGATTATCTACAAGGTCGCACGCATCGTTCACCTCGCCCTTTTACCGTTAGACCTGATTTAACTCAGATTGAAACTGATGTGGGAGTTTAACACATACTAAATTTGTAACACGATGATATAAGAAAACAGATTAATATTCATATTAAGATACTAATATTATAGATTTTTTAAACAACCAATTTGTTTATATTAAGTTAAAGGGATGTAGATATAAATGCTATTACATCAAAAGTTGACAAATAATAAAAAGGGTTAATTCATATAGCTTTTTTATTCAGAGGGGAATACCTTATGCATACTCCGGGCCCCGGCGGGGACGCGGTAGTTATGTGGGATTCTCTTCCGGATGGGAAGCATACCCACTAAACCCCTCTGTTCCTCCTACGCATGGCGAGGCCACGGGCACGCTTGCGCTTTCGTCCGCTACCAAAAGTACGTTACTTGATATAGCTGGAATAACGAAGTGACCACTGTATATAAATATTTAAGGGTTTAGACAAAGTGCATTTGCTACGAAGCAATTCTATAGCGAACTTCAAAAATGTATAGAACTTGACTATCTTTCGATGTGTCACGTGATTGTCACGCGTCAGTTCCATACATTGTTGAAGTTCGTTATGGAATCGCTTCGGAGTGAATGCACTCTGTCTAGCCCCACTAAAACGACTAAAAGACTTGCGTTGCCAAAACTACTAATTAAATCTTTGGAATAACAACAAAGTTTTTTTTGGTGTTCTTGATTGCTATTCGTGGCTTCCGAGACCAAAACCTCAAGGTCCTGTTTGGGCAAATTACAAACTGGCAGAATTCACGATCGATTGGTAACATAGTAACCCAGTAAACTTATAGCGTAGAAACGTTCGTGTGAGCACAAAGCATTCTTCATAGTTATACTTGTTTCACACTAGAACAGAAGACAGTGCAATACTATTGTTTAAACATGCATTCATTTTTATAACTTAGTAACATTGTAAACACCCCTAAATTTAGTAACATTCCAAATGTATGGAAGTGACAACGTCACTTGAACAGTGACGTACAGCGCGCCTCCTACTCCTTGACGCGGCCCCCTAAGTGCGCAGGCGCATAGTGAGCGACGGGCCGTGTCCGCGTAATAATACTAGTCCCAATCACTATGATGAAGGGCCGCCAATGGGCTCGAAACTAGTCGGTGCCGCAAACAGACCGACAAACGTCTCATGAAAGTTTAAATAAATTAACTTGTCACGGGACTGTCAGGTATACTCCTATACATTTTAACACATCTTAACGTAGTAGAAGAATATTAGCGATATCATACTTTCGAATCGAAAGAGGGGTTAGACAAAATGCATTCGCTACGAAGCGATTCCATAGCAAACTTTAAAAATGTATGGAACTTAGGGATTGCACTAACACGCGACAATCACGTGACTTATCAAAAGTTAATGTCAGTAGCGAAAGCACTTTGTCTGACCCCCAAGGTAAGGCTACCCATTCCCGTACTGCAATCTCCTATTGCACCTGTTCCACCCTCGTGTGAAACAAGCATTAATTTAGCTTTACCTACAGTTTTCAGTTCAAATATGTCATTGTTCACAATAAAGAGATGACTCACAACAAACGCTTGCTTCACAAAGTCTAAAGTACGTTTGTGCAGTATTTTTTTTAATGAGATCCGACTTGCGTATTTGTTAACATACATTAAAGTATACTGTTAATTAATGAGTGATACTTAACAATACTTAACATCAAAACAAAGTAGTATATTAAATTCCTATTTATATATTACTCGGAGAGCGTAATACTCAGAGGTCAAGCACTTGACTTGCAATATGCAGGTCCTGGGTTCGAATCCCGCCATGTACCAATGTGTTTTTCCATTTCTGATTTACATATGTACATTTATCCGACGTGAAGTGAAGGAAAATGTCGTGATGCTGCACATATCTGAAAAGAAATTCACAGATATGTGTAAAAGTCAACCAACCCGCACTTGGCCAGCGTGGTTGTCTATGGCCTAGTCACCCCTAACTTAGGGTAGGCACCGAGCTCCTCAGTGGAGACGTATAGTGAGCTGATGATGATGAATAAACATAGCCTATTTAAAATCGGTTTATCGTCTTTATATTAGTTAAGATATAGATTGAAAATAAATGCATCTAATAAAACATTTATACATAAAACAACACAGTAAAAGTATTTAAGTTAAATCGTTATTTAACTTAGTGATTACTTAACGAACTCTTGACAATGCATGAGTCACGTTCTATTTGTTTCGTCTAACCGTGGGTTTCTGTGACCAATATCCTCGTTTAAAACATATTGTTATCTGTATTTTGTCAAAGATAATGATATAATTAAAAAAAAACTAATGAGTAGCTGATCTTCTGCTTGCATGCCAATCGTCAACATCCGTGGAGCCATCCAAACATTCGCCTTTATAATATTAGTAAGATTTGACATTTATGAATCAGTTTGTATTTTTTATATTTCTTGCACGACAGTACCGCAAGAAATAAATCCTATTTATGGAATCTATGCGATCGTAAAATATTTATAGGCTAGTCGTTTATAATATTCCACATACCTAGTAGTATATCGATATTGTGAGAGCTTACTACAATAAAAATTGTTAGGTTTTTAGATATATTAGCTAGAATAACTGTGTCAGAATGAATAGTGAGGGGACATAAACGTCGACATTTTAGTAA